GATGAATTCTACCAAACATTTAAAGAATACCAATTCTTCACAAACTCTTCTAAAATGTGAAAGAAAAGACTTTTCAACTCATTCTATGAACCTAGTATTACCCTGATAGCAAAACCACACAAACACATTACGTGAAAACTATGGACCAGTATCTCTTATGAATACAGATGCGAAAATCCAAAACAAAGCTCTAACAAACTGAATCCAGCAACATATAAAAAATATTATACACCACGACCAAGAGGAATTTATCCCAGGAATGCCAAGTTGATTGAACATCTGAAATTCAATTAACTTATCATAGAATAGAGGGCAAAAACTACATGATCATTTCAATATATGCAGATAAAGCATTTGACAAAATTAAACACCACTTCTTTTTTTTAAGATATAATTTATTTGAGAGAGAGAGAATACGCGAGTTGGGGGAAAGGCAGAGGGAGAGGGAGAAACAGATTCCCTAATGAGTGGGGAGCCCGACTCGGGGCTCAATCCCAGGACCCTGGGATCATGACCCGAGCTGAAGGCAGAGGCCTTGACCCACCGAGCCACCCAGGCGCCCTACCACTTCTTAATTTAAAAAAAAAGAACAAAAACCCGATAAACTAGGAATAGGAATTAATTTCCTCAACCTGATAAAGGGCATCTTGGAAAAAACCACAGCTAATATCACACTAAAGGTGAAAGATTGAATGTCTTCTCCCTATGATCAGGAACAAGACAAGGATGTGTATTCATGATTTTCTCTATTCAACACGAAGAGAGGTCTATCAGGATAATTATGCAAGAAAATGAAATAAAAGGTATAGAATAGAACTATATTAGCAGGCGACATAGTTTGTAAACAGAAAATCCTAAAGAATCAACCAAAGCATTGGGATACAAAATCAATATACAGCTATCAATTGTTTTCTATACACTTGCAATGAGCAATCCAAAAATGAAATTAAGAAAATAATTCCATTTTTAACAGTATTAAAAAGAATGAAAATACTTAGATTAAATTTAACAAAAGAAGGGTATAACTTAAATTCTGAATGCAACAAAACCCTGTTGAAAGAAATTAAAGACCTAAACAACTGGGAAGACATTCCATACTCATGGATCAGATAATTTAACGGTTAAACTGGCAATACTCCCCAAATGGATCTACAGATTGAGTGCAATCCCCATCAACATTCCAGATGGCTTCTTTTGAGAAACTGAGAAACTGATCCTAAAATTCATATGGAAATACAAGGGAATCAGGAAGCCAAAACAATCTTGCAAAAGAGAAACAAAGTTGAAGGACTCAGACTCCCAATTTCAAAACTTTCTATAAAATACAGTAATCAAGGGGCGCCTGGGTGGCTCAGTGGGTTAAAGCCTCTGCCTTCAGCTCAGGTCATGATCTCAGAGTCCTGGGATCGAGCCCCGCATCGGGCTCTCTGCTCCGCGGGGAGCCTGCTTCCTCCCCTCTCTCTCTGCCTGCCTCTCTGCCTACTTCTGATCTTTCTCTCTGTCAAATAAATAAATAAAATCTTAAAAAAAAAAAAAAACAGTAATCAAGACAGTGTGGCATAAGGATAGACCTATAGATCAATGGAATAAAATTCAGAGTCCAGAAATAAACCCTCATATCTGTAGTCAATTGATTTTTTAAATTTTTTTTTAAAGATTGTATTTATTTATTTGACAGAGAGAGAGAGATCACAAGTAGGCAGAGAGGCTGGCAGAGAGAGAAGGAGAAGCAGGCTCCCTGCTTAGCAAAGAGCCCAATGCGTGGGCCCCATCCCAGGACCCTGAGATCATGACCTGAGCCGAAGGCAGAGGCTTAATCCACTGAGCCACCCAGGCGCCCCAAGTCAACTGATTTTTGACAAGAGTGCCAAGACCATTCAATGGAGAAAGAATAGTCTTTTTAACAAATGGTACTGGAATGACTGGATGTCCAGGTGCAAAGAATAATTTTGTTCCTCATACCATATATGAAAACTAACACAAAATGAATCAAAAACCTAAATGTAAGAGTTAAAAATACAAAAGTTTTAGAAAAAAAACATAGCCATAAATAATCTTGGTTTGGGCAATGGATTCTTTGGCATGATGCCAAAAGCATAAGCAACCAAGAAAAAATAAATTGGACTTCATCAAAATTAAAAACCTTTCTGCTTCAAAGGATACCATCAAGAAAGTGAGAAAATAGCCCTCTAAAAGAAAGAAAACATTTGCAAATCATATATTTAATCAAGAAATTGTAACTGGGATATATAAAGGAAATTCTCACAACAAAATAATATAAAAATGAATAACTAAAAATGGGCAGATGATCTGAATAGACATTTTTCCAAAGATCTGCAAATGGCTAATACACACAGGACAAAACGCTCAGTATCATTAGTCATTAAGGAAATGCAAATGAAAACCATAATGAACTACGATTTCATACCCAACAGGATGGGTGTAATCAAAAGGACAGACAATAACAAGGGTTACGAAGGATGTGGAAAAAATGGAACTATCACACACTGCTGGTGGAAATGAAGAATGGTGCAGGCACTTGGGAAAACTGTAGTTTCTCAAAATGTTAAACATTGAGCTACCATATGACACAGCAATTATACTCCTAGGTATATACCCAAGAGCACCAAAAATACGTGTTTACACTCTAACACATACATGAATGTTCATAGAAGCATGGTTCACAATAGTAAAATAGTAGAAACAACCCAAATGTCCATCAATTGATCAATGGATGAACACGACGTGGCATATTCCTACAATGGAATACTATTTAGAGATGAAAAGGAATGAAATTCTGATTCATGTTACAACATGAACTTTGAAAACATTATGTTGAATGAAAGAATTCAGGCAGAAAAGACTCCATGTGGCCTTGATTACATTGATATGAAATGTCCAGAAAAGCCCATATCTGTAGAGACAGAAAGTAGATTAGTGATTGCCTAGGGCTGGGGAGGTAATGGGTAGGGGAGTCACTGCTAATGGTTTGGGGGAGGGATGTGAAAATGTTCTAAAATTGCTAGTGGTGATGGTTTTACAGCTCTATGAATATTCTAAAAACCAGTGAATTTTATGGTTTAAACCGGTGAATCGTGGCCTGTGAATTATAGCTCCATAAAACTGCTCTTTTAAGAAAGTGATCCAGGAAAAGAGGTTGGCATTTCCTCGAAGAGTTAAACATAGAATTGCCATATGACCTGGCAATTTCAGTCCTAGGTGTATATTCCTAAAGAACTGAATACGGGAATTCTAAACAAGTACACATATGCCCATGTTCATAGCAGCACTATTCCCAGTAGTCGAACAGGTGGAAACAACTCAAATGTCCGTCACCAAATGAATCGATAAATAAAATGTGGTCTATACACACAAGGGAATACTATTCAGCCTTGAAAAGGAATGAAGTATGATAGATGCTACAACATGCATGAACCCCAAAAACATGCTAAGTGAAAGGAGGCAGGGGTTACACTGTACATGATTTCATTTACCTATTTACCTATTCCATCCAGAATGGACAAATTCACAGAGATACAACACAACACTGGCAGTGGCCAGGGCCTGAAAGGAGAGGGAAATCGGGAGAAACTGCCTACTAGGTAAGGGGTTTTGCTTTGGAGTGATGGAAATGTTTGGAACTGGACTAGAAGGGGTGGTTATACAACTTTGTGAATGAACAAAATGTCACTGAAAACTTCCCTCTACAATGATTAATTTTGTGTTACGTGCATTTCACCTTGGTAAATTAAAAGAAAAATCCATCCCCAAATCTAAGGCAATATTTCCATTTACCCGCAACATTTTAAGAGTTGAGAAGTATTTCAAAAAGAGAAACCTTATTTTTACAAGTTGGGTGTGGCTTTTTTTTTTTTTTTTTTGGTAACCTGAGAAATTCGGCTAAATTTAAAGAATCTTGGATAATCTTAGATACAAAAAGAATATTACTCCCTTTGCTCTTTTATAATAAATTATTACCATGGAATTAGCTCAGTTGGAGCTTTGGAAAGATTTACAGATTTGAAAGAGTTAGTACATCTCTCCTGTGTCTCCAAAGTGGGAGATGAGCTTTGCTAACTTACCAGCACCAGTCAGCTAGGAGGCAGAATGGCATTTGATTCCCACGAGAAAACATCACACGCTAATTAGTATAGAATACACTGCACCCTAACTGTCCATCTTAAGCCTGAGTGAACTTCCGAAAACAAGATGTGGAGTAGAATTTGGAAAAATTATCCATAAACTAGATACGAAAAGAAGGGAATTTAAGAGACAATTATTCACATAATCAGCCCAGTTTATTTTTATCTGCTTGTGGAGACTCTGTCTCTTAAACACTCAAGTGAGTTGTAGCTCGATTTCAGTAGGTATGAGAAAGAACTTCAGGACGAAATAAACAAGGAAATATTTAAGCCTCTAATTATATGGGGGTTGTGGAATTTAGAAACAACACACTTTTTCGGAAGCCGATGATCTTGAGTTTCCCAAATTCTACCTGGAACAGTCTAAAAATGTGGGGGCAAATCTCATAAAGTTCTGTGTTGAATAGCTGTAAAAAATAATCCGATCACTGAGTTACAAAATCTAATAAAAAGTCAATGATGCTACTAAACGCCACAGAGGTTTGGATATAGCTACTTATAAGCATATTGAATAAACAGAGAGAAATTTCCAGAGGCTTTCTTATTCCCTGCCACTGGGTTTGAAATTCAGAGTTTTATACTGGTACGTTCTCAGCTGATATCAAATCAAACATAAGTTCTTTCTTAGATAATACTTTATGGTACATCGTAAATTCAAAGCCACATCTTCCTAAAGGTAGTTTCCCGCGTTCTGCCAACATTCAGCCTTCAGCTGGAGTGACGGCGCCTTGTGCACAAGCGCACGGGGCGGCTGGAGAAGCGAGTGGCTTCCCCGGGAAAGGGGAGAGGGCGAAGCTGGCTCACTCTCTCTTGGCCGTTCCAGAAAACGGGCACCCCCCACCTCCCACTAGCACTCACCTTTCTCAGATTTCCTCTCTTTCGTTGACGAGGAAGTCCCACAGCCCATGTCTTCTAAATCATGTGTGCTCATGAATTGAACTTCTCATTCCGAAACAGAGTGTGAAAAGTGCTTCCCTTTATGCTGCGAGGAGCCCCTCCTAGCTGATCCACCTCAGGCATAGATCCTGATGAGGAAGACACAGGCGGGAGGGGCGGGGGGGGGAGCACCCGTTAACAGCAAGGTATCTAAGGGCTGCTGAGCAGGATTCATTTTATGCTTCTTCTCAACTGCTGTTCATCATGTGATGTGGAAAGTGATCAGACATAATCTAATGCGGTTCATTTTCCAGAACACAGCAGCAGCCACCCAGCAGCTATAGATTGCTTTTTCTGCTACATGTAAATTATCTTTTCCCCATGTCAAGGTTAGATCAAGGTCTGTATAAATGCTGTATAAAATAAAGCATTGAAAACGGAAAGGAAAACAGAAATGTAAGAGCATAGGATTTTCTAATGGAAACACAGGGAATGGGATATGGAGGACCTGATAGAAGTTAACTGTTTGGGCTGTAAGCGCAAAATAATTAAATCTATCCAGGCTTTTAAAAACACAGATTGGAGACAGACTATGACAAAACAACATGTTTGAACAACTCTGCCAAAATTCAAATCAAAGTGAGTTCCTCAACACTATTTCTCAGAATCAGCTGGAGAGCTTGTTTTTACAAAGGAGGCTCCAGGCCTCCCCCCACCCCCCAGAATAGGGTGCCACAATCAGGGGAAAGGGGCCAAGTGCCCTTTTTGTTTGTTGTATTATTTTCTCCCTTTTTTTTTTTTTCAGTAAACTCTACGCCCAAAGAGGGCTTGACCTCACGACCTGAGATACAGAGTACAGTGGGCCCTTTTAAAATAAGCTGTCTGTGTGTTTCTGAGACAACTTCCCCTCCCAGGTTGAAACTGCTAAAATGGATTTTAGTATTCTACCTCGTGGCTTTTGGGAGTGATGTTTCCTTTATTTTGTATTGCTCCAAATCAGCCTGATCTAATCTATTTGCATTTCATGATAGGAACAAAGTCAGAGAACAACTGACTTTGGACCCTACCAGGCAGGGTCATTTTTCCATTAGCAGTACACTAAAAGCCTCAAAACTATGACTCAACTAAAGAAAGAGAAAAAATAAAATGAGCGAAATATTTGAATTATGGAAATACCATTCAAACAATAACCTTAATAAACAGATATTTTGATCAGAGCTAGACCTGATTCTTTTATGTATGGTATGAATTAACCCTCCTAAACGTTGGGTTATCTCCAAATTTGACAGGCATTTCTATCATATCTTTCCTACCTACATCATGGGTAAAAAATGTTGACAAGGTCAGCTCCAAGGGCACCATAGCCCCTGTAGCATTCCATTCCAGCCCATTCTCCAGGGTCACTACAGGGCCCTTTCATTCACACTCTCAGCATATTTGTGGAGCTAGGTAGTAAATCCACCCGTCATAACATCCTGGGAAATTTTGCTAAATATTTTCATGAAATTAATATACATACATTAACACCTTGACTATCCCAGCCCCCAGAAGAAGAAAATGAAGAAGTGGAGGAGGACAGGAGGGAAAAAAGGAGGAAATCAGTTGGGCAGGACTTTTAATAACAGAATCACAAAAGTTGAAAGGTGGGAGAGACCTTTAAAATTGCCTAGAATTTACACAAAGTACAAGGAAGTCAAGCAACTTACCTAAAGTTGTATAGAGAAATTGGTTATCAAACTTTGTTGCCTCTTACCATAGCCGGGGGAGCTTTTAAAACTCCCAGTGCTCAGCCAGCACTGCATTAAGGGAGACTGAGGCCTGGATCCCATCCCCAGAGATTCTGATGTAACTGGTACTTGGGGGGGGAGGGTTGGTCATCAAAATTTTTAAGAACTCCCCAGATGATTCTAACATGTAGCCACATTTGACAGACTTTAATAGTGACAGTGTTTGAGCAAACCCATGATGACACCTAAGGATCATCACATTTTCCTCTGCAGGCTCTGACTCCATCTGTTTGAAACAGAATTTTTCCAAAGGTCATGTCAGGCTTATAAAGCAGTGGTTCTGGCATCTCTTCTTTTCTCATTTTTGAAATCTGGGCAGTATTTACCTATCACCTGCCTTCTCTCTGTACTCAGAAATGTCTTTTTTTTTTTTTTTTTTAAGATTCTATCCATTTATTTAGAGACGGGGCCTTGTGGGGGGAGAGAGAGAGAGAGAGAGAGAGAGAGAGAGGAAGGGAGGGGGAGAGGCAGAGGAAGAGAGAATACCAAGCAGACCAGTAGACTGGGGCCGCATCTCATGACCCCGACACCACCACCCAAGGTGAAACCTAGTCAGATGCTCCTGAGCCACCCTGGCGTCCCTGTACTCAGCAATTTCTTATAGGTTATCTGCAGCACCTCTGAGAACACAGCCGCTGGGGTCCTTCATTACCCTTCGAAGTCGTTCACCTCATCCTGGTGACTTTCTCCACGCACCTAGATCAGTGCTCTCTGACATGAGCACCACCAGACTCACCAGGGGAGGTTATTAAAAAATGAAGACTCTCGGGGCACCTGGGTGGCTCAGTGGGTTAAGCCGCTGCCTTCGGCTCAGGTCATGATCTCGGGGTCCTGGAATCGAGTCCCGCATCAGGTTCTCTGCTCAGCGGGGAGCCTGCTTCCCTCTCCCTCCCTCTGCCTGCCTCTCTGCCTACTTGTGATCTCTACCTGTCAAATAAATAAATAAATAAAATCTTTAAAAAAAAATGAAGACTCTCAGGCTTTACCACCAATACTCAGTCTGGAGGAGCTGGGAATCTGCAATCAGAATGCAGCCTTCGGGGGACTTGGACACAGGTGCTCCCAGATCGCCGGCAGAGAAACCTTGCTCCCCATATCTCCTTCGGGCTTCACTTTCATCTTTATGCTATTTTCCCACCCTTTTTTGTGAATACAGAAGAGTTGGGCATTGAGTAGGCAACACTGATTCAACAAGAAGTGAAACATGTCAGGGTGCTTGGGTGGCTCAGTGGTGTAAAGCCTCTGCCTTCAGCTCAGGTCATGATCTCAGGGTCCTGGGATCGAGCCCCACATTGGGCTCTCTGCTCAGCGGGGAGCCTTCTTCCCCCTCCCTCTCTCTGCCTCCCTCTCTGCCTACTTGTGATCTCTGTCAAATAAATAAATAAAAATCTTTAAAAAAAGAAAAAAAGAAGTGAGACATTTCAATCTTTTCTTTTCCAGAAAAAAAATAAAATAAAGCAATATCTCTCCAAAAGCATTTGGTTCTCAGCCACCCCTGAGTTCATTACACAACCAAATTCCATATAAAAAATTCACTAGGAACTAAAAAGGATCAAACTTGAGTATATTTCTGTTAGACCATAAGCTCCATGGGTATCTTTCTTTCTAAATACTCCTTGAATCTCTGGCACCTTCACAGTGCCTTTCACATAGCAGGTGTTTGATAAATGCTAAATGCATTAATGGGGCTTCCTAAGCCAGCGTCCTTCGTTCTCTTTTTAAAGATTTTATTTATTGGGGCACCTGGGCGGCTCAGTGGGTTAAAGCCTCTGCCTTCAGCTCAGGTCATGGTCCCAGGGTCCTGGAATCGAGTCCCACATCGGACTCTCTGCTCCGTGGGGAGCCTGCTTTCCCCTCTCTCTCTGCCTTCCTCTCTGCCTACTTGTGATCTCTGTCAAACAAATAAATAAAATCTTTAAAAAAAATAGAGGTTGTATTTATTTATTTGAGAGAGAAAGAGAGACAGCACGAGTGGGGAACGGGGCTAGGGGGGAGCAAGGGGCAGATGAAGAAGGAGAAGCAAGTTCCCCACTGAGCAGGGATTCTGATGCAAGACTCGATCCCAGGACCCTGAAGTCATGACCAGAGCCGAAGGCAGACGCTTAACCAACTGAGCCACCCAGGTGCCCTAGCCAGAATCTTTTTAAAAAAATTAATCGCTGGGGCTCCTGGGTGTCTCAGTTGGTTGAGCATCTGACTCTTTTTTTTTTTTTTAGAGATTTTATTTATTTATTTGACAGACAGAGATCACAAGTAGGCAGAGAGGAAGGCAGAGAGAGAGGAGGAAGCAGGCTCCCAGAGAGCCTGACGTGGGACTCGATCCCAGGACTCTGGGATCATGACCTGAGCTGAAGGCAGAGGCTTTAACCCGCTGAGCCACCCAGGCGCCCGAGCATCCGACTCTTGATTTCAACTCAGGTCATAATCTCGGGGTTGTGGAGTTGAGCCCTACGTTGGGCTCCACGCTTGGTGCAGAGTCTGCTGGACAGATTCTTTCTCTCCTTCTCCTTCCCCCTTTGCCCCTACCCCTGCTCATGCTCACTCACTTGTGCACACTCTCTCTCTCTCTCTCTCTCTCTCTCTCAGATAAATAAATAAATAAATACAATCTTGAAAAAAAATGCTAAAAGCCAGTATTAGTCCATGACTTGGTGCACAGATGCCTACTATTTCATTATACAAAAGCCTTTTATTAAACCAGAAAAAGGGTAGTACTTACAGATTCATTTTTAAAGAGGATTTTAAAATCACAATGGAGAAAAACTGAGAATTGTTCTAGAATTCTTCCATTATTAGGAAAAGATTTGCTATTGAAATTTTTACATTATTAAATAAGTATTAAGTTATTCTTCAACTGTTTTTCTCCTTCGGGTAACAGGTAAAACAAACAAACCAAAAGAGCTCATTTTAATGCTCACCAAAACAAGATCCGGGTGAGGCCAGGGGCCACTTAATACTCCCACACAGAGCCCAAACTACACTGCCATCACCCACTCAAAGCAGAGAGGAAAACAAGTTTGTAAGCAGCGTATGTACCTTTGAGGACATCTCCAGCTGGCTGCAAGGCTGATAAAAATGATCGGGGGATTTTCCATTATTGAGACAAATCGAAGCTCCTTGCATTTCCAGCCCTCTGTCAGCATTAGAAAAGCACTTAGTGTGCCAAAGAAGTCTCGGGAGAAATGATACCTAGGGCCTGAAAGGGGTCCTGTGGCTCGAGAGGTGGAGAGCTTCTTCAGGGTTCGCAAAGACCCAAGGACGCCATCCTCAGCGATATGGACACTGAAAAGGTGGCTCTTAGCAAAAAAACAGCTTGAAATTTGCCCGGGGAGGCTGCCCCTACCAATATTTATATGTCAAGGATGGTTTTAAAGCACAAACATGAAACAGTGACTCATCATTGGCACTCACTTCTAATCTGAAAAAGAAAAGGTTTCTACGGCTTCTGCTGGAAGGTTTTTACTGTGCGTGGGGGCTGGGGGGGCCATGAAGGGCCCAACGGTTTGAGGTCCAGCTCTTTTCATCCTACCCACTTTTCACTTCCCAAGGTGAAAATACATGGAAAGAACAAATGATGGCCCTTGGAGCCAAGCTAAACCTCAGCCATCAAGCACCCTCCAAGTGCCAGCCCTCCTCCCCAAGCGGTTATTTGTTCTTCATTTCATTCCAGAGTACAGTCTTATTGAACTCCCACGCCCCCGCTCAGCTACCTGGGCCTTGATTCTGCCTCTGGCATTCGAGATGGGGCTTGGGCGGTTTCCCATGCTGAAAACTCAGCCTTTCTCAGAGATGCTAACTTTTATGAGAAATTCCTCCTCCTGGGGTGCCTGGGTGGCTCAGTGGGTTAAGCCTCTGCCTTCGGCCCAGGTCATGATCTCAGGGTCCTGGGATTGAGCCCCGCATTGGGCTCTCTGCTCGGCAGGAAGCCTGCTTCTCCCTCTCTCTCTGCTTGCCTCTCTGCCTGCTTGTGATCTCTGTCAAATAAATAAATAAAATATTAAAAAAAAAAAAATTCCTCCTCCAGCTCTGGCCCTGAGGAACCCAAATCCAGGACCCAGCGTGGTTCAAGGGGCAACACACTCACACCGCCCAAGGTGGGATTTAAGTAGGCCTGTCTAATTCTTCCCCTTTGCACTATGGCGACTTGAGCATGGAGGACAGATGCTTCTTGAGGCTCACCTTGCTGCGTTCTCTGTGGTGGTCATCAAAACAGGGGTTCTATAGCCTGGTGTCGGTGGCCTAAGGATGACTAAGGGGCACAGAGTGGGGGTAGAGGAGTCCCTGGTGGATGGCGCTAGAGAGGCCCGTTCCAGCACTCCATTTCCAGAAGAACACTGTAGCTTTCCTTGTTCATACCCTTGTGGCTGGGGTCTTAAATGTGTCTGTAAGACAGACCCGGTGACTCTTGCCGGCTCTCATCAGATGAAAGGCTAAAAAGAAGGAGAAACGCCACTGACAACCGGAAGGCGTCTGAAGGTTATCTGTATCTGACAGGATGGTCATCAAGAGGCAGCTTGGCCTGGTTCCAGGTTTTCCACAGTGTGTTTGTGGAAGAGTAGTTCTTCGTGCTGTATGATTCTAGGCATGAGGCAAAAAAGGCCCCACAGTCGAATAAGTTGAGGAGAAGGCCGGTTAAACAGATTTCTTGACGGCAAGATTCCTTAGAGCCTTCAACACATTACTATGCGTCTCTAATAGGAATCTCTGAGAAAAAAGCCGGAGTGTCCACCATTTCCCAAACAGCCTAGCAGGGGACCCTTTTGAGGTAAAGCATCTCCAGAACATGTGTTGTTCCCAACGGCCTAATGATGGCCCAGTGGGCCTGGGGTTTAGAAGTCAAAGAAACTGGGGCTATCTGCTGGCTCAAGTCAGTAGAGCTTGCGAGTCTTGATCTCAGGGTGGTGCGTTCAAGCCCCACGCTGGGTGTGGAGCCTACTTACATAAATAAATAAAAATGAATTAGTTAACTAATTAACATAAATTCCTCTGTACCTCCGTTTTCTCTTAATGGGATAATAGCGCCTACCTTACCGGCTTGTACTAAGGACTACTGAGGAGTTCAGCGGTGCAAAGAACTAGCTCGAACAAAATGCAATTCCTCTTAGCTGAATGAGGGAGGAGGGGCCGCACGGGCGGGGGCCCACCATGGTCAAGTGTTGAAATGAGACTGTGTTTGCTCAGATCTCTTCCTTCTGAATGCATGGTCTGGGACCTCCGGAGGCTAAAACCCTGCGAGGTCTACTCCTTCTGGGATAATTGCAGATTCATAAGAAATGAACTCTCTTCCTCAGAGAACACTAAGATCTGAAAGAACACTATGCCAGTAGTAATCATAATAGCTAAAATCACTACTTCTTATTAAGGGACTACTGTTTACCCAGCCCAGTGGTTGCTCTATGTTTCTCTTTCTCCAGCTAATCTTCACGCAAACTTTTAAGGTGATTCCATCACTTCTGTGTTATAGATGAAAAACTGAGACTCAGAAATTAAATATGGCACCCCGTGGCACAGCTGACCAGTGGCAGCCCCGAAGACCCGTTCTGGTCAATGGTTAAAGAATAAAAATATCCACTATAAGGTTGGCTATACCTAGGTCTCAAATCCAGTCTGAAGCAGCAAATCACTAAAGAGAATTCTCGAACATTTCAAGGAACTCAGTTTCCCTTTCCTAAAGAGAGACGGAAATCCAGTGATCTTCCAAGATAGCAATAGGCCAAGGGGGCTACGGGAAGATTTCTGAACATGAAGTTGCATCATGGGCTTTGAAGGGTTTCTCCAAGTATCTCGTCCCTCATTTCTAGTTCTCACCCAAGTGACCACAGAGTTTTTCTAAATGTCATGTTCCTTTGAAATAGGCTGCAACCCTTCAAATGGCAAAGTCATCTGTACCCCTTTTTAAGATGAGGATAGCTGATTTGGAATCAGAATCTCTGAGAAAAACCTCACTCTGAGAAATTGCAAAGCCATAAAATAAACTTTAAGGTGTGCACGTTTCCTATCCCATCACTACACAATCGATATTTCTATGGTAGACTTCTGCTTGCTCAAAATACCTAAGGACAAGCAAGCATATTACCTCTTCTGCTTGGCTGATGCAGAGGGTTTTCCTCACCCCAGGTGTTTCAAGAAACCCCAGAACAAGGAAAAAACCTTCTTTATGAGGGATGCAGAGGTCTGAAAGGAAAGCAATACAATTCCAGCTGTCTCTGGAGCACACCCCCGAACACACACGCAAGCAGGCACGCGTGCACACACTCCACATCCCAAGTCCTCGCAGCTCTCTGCAGGGAGAACTCTTGCTTAAAGAAATCAAGAAAGAAATACACATGCACACACACAAAGAAATAATTCCAGCGGGCCTTGGGAGCTTTGCCTTTCAGCCTGGAAGAGGGGCCCAGAGTCAACAGATCCGGGAGAGGCCGAGTTGGGCTGGGAGCCCCAGCTTTCTGCCCTGGCCCTGCCGCATTCCCATCAGCTCGGAGATCAAGGGACACGCTCAAGCAATGGGCTGTGGTCACATGACTGCTTTCAAGGGGCCCCGGGCCTGGACAGGCAGGGCCGGACCAACAGGCCGCTGTTGGCATAAATAATCTGCCTCGATACAAAACACACGGTGAATTTTTCTAAGTAGGGCAGAAGAGCATTCTGTGGTTCATCCTGGAGGTCCACCGAGGCTGGTTTTTAGGCAACATGGCAGCCACGTGCGTGTGGCTAGGAGAAGGGGTACGCTACACATTCCTCCTTGGGACTCCAAAAGGCCCGAGTGGAAGGGCGCGGCCCCGGGTGCTGTGCTGCGGTGGTATTCCTCCGGCTGTTCCATTAGCTGCATGGTGGGGGACCCATCAGGGGGAGACAGATTCGCCTGCCCCCCGCGGTGGGGAGGAAACTGAGAGTGCGCCCCGTGATCGTGATCGAGTGTGCCCCGTGATCTTGCTGAGTCTGAGAAGGAAGAGGAGGGAACCGGTACCAGGGCGGGTGCCGCCAGCCTGGGTTCCAACATCTTTCAAGGCCCTCCGGGGTGATCTTGCTCCTGGAGGCTCAAACCCACAGCAGCAGCGCCCACAGCCATTCTCCTCCCCAGTCCTGCCTGGCTGGCCAGCCGGTGTTTTCCCACTTCCTGGCCTTCTGCATTGCAAGCTTGGATTGAAAGAACTTGGGCCAAAATCATATGCTAACCCCGCCCAGGCTGCTCTCTAGCCAATCCTTTCTGCACTTGAGAGCCACAGGGGATCCAAGGAAGTGGTCGCCTAGCTTGCGATTAAAGCTAATGGAGTCACTTTAAAAAATAACTGGAAAGGCAGCTCTGGGCTTCTGTACTCCCATTAGCATATTAAATATGATCAGAGGGCCTCATTAGGAGGCAGTACAACCCGTACAGGTTTCCATGGCAGGCGTTCCAAGACTAGGGCCTGGTGAGGCCACCATCCACTGTGCAAACGATAGTGTCATTACCCAAGCTCGGAGACAAATAGTGGACAATGTCGCTCTGTGGCTGTTTCCGGCCAAATGCCTGTTCAGTCCACAGTGGTTAAATGATGGCTATGTCTAGATTTGGTTGTTCAAATGTCACCTCCTCTGTGTGAAGCTTTTCTTAAAGCACCAAAGGGGAGTTAGGCGCTCTGTGCCCTGGCTCTCAAAGCCACGTGTGCGTCCAATTATAGAGCTTTTGCAAAGTGCTCTGTAATTTGTCCTCTTACTTGCGAAATGTAGAGGAAATTTTCACTCTTATATGTGAAAGGACAGCGTCCGTTTCATTCCTCTTGGCAATCCTAGTACCAAATGCATAAAAGGTACTCACCAAATATTTGTTTCATCACAGAAAGAAAGGAAAGGAGGGAAAGAACTTGTGACTTAGGTGGTTATTTTAATGGTCGACCTCTGGACCATGAATTGCATGAGCCGTGCCCTTTATGTGATAGATATAAAACTTAGAATTTGCTTAAATGAAGAGTTTCACCATATTTTTCCATTGTAGGAAGAATGTTGAAATGTGACTTTGAGTGCTACCAAGACCCAGCCTCCAATTGCTGAATAAACCAGCACTGATGGATGTGAATAAATCATAGTAACGATAACGTTCACTGAGCACGTACTACGTTCTAGGCACTTGTTAGTCTTACATGTATTAATCTCATTTCGTCCACACACTATCCTATGAGGCATATACTATTATTGTCTTCCCTATTTACACTTTAGGACCTAGAGCCCAAAGTCAAACAGCAAATGAGAGGCAAAGCTGGGATCCGAACCCAGGCACTTTGACTCTCAAACCCTTACTTCTGATCCTTACACTACACTGCCTCGGTCAGCACCTTACGTGTTTGCAAAATGACGATCCCAGCCTCTTCTCAGATGCTGTCCGACTTCCCACCAGCTGAACAGGGTGGTGTTCTCCCAGGCTGAAAACAGAAAAAATAATTGGCAAAGTAATGTTCACGGTTTTAAATTCACTAGTTAATAGACTCATGCCCCAAATAGTCAAGGTCAATGTCTCTCTGGGTGGGCATATCATCGTATGAAAACAGCCCCCAGCAAAGGTTGGAAAAGGCCACGGCAATACCAAATCATCCTGAACTAAGATGGCTTGTGCTCTTCAATTTGACACAGTGCCACACGACCCTCTGAGCTCCCCTATGTGACAGGCGCTGCTGAAGGACAGGGACATAAAGGGGGAACCAAATGGATGTGATTAGTGGGGCAGACACCTAGGCAAATAAGAAAATAAAATCACAAATTAAAATCTTTCTCTCCTGTTGGAATATAAACTCCAAGTACCTAAAACAGTGCCAGGCATGTAATAGATATTTATTATGCAAGTAAATACGAGCAGTATGGTATGATAAGATCTCTAACAGGACAGGGATGGGGCACAGAGAAAGGGCCCCATCCCAGAAAGAGGGATGAAAAGTTTCTAAATGAGATGCTGCTGGGGTGCCTGCCGGGCTCAGTCGGCAGAGCAGAGCGGGGTAACATTTGATCTCAGGGCTGTGAGGGCAAGGCCCCTGTTAGGCATAAAACTTGGTTAAAGAAAAAGGAAAGGAAAAGAAAAGAAGTGAGGCCCAGCCAGAGAGCTGATGACTGAGCAGCCAGAAGTTAGAAGTTAACCAAGAAGAAAAGAGGTGAGAGGAGAGAGGGGGTGTTCTTGCAGATGGCACGTATCTCACAGTGTTTAACAAGGATGTGAAACGGGAGAGGTAAGACCAAAATCAGAAAGCACTGAGTTCCTGATTATGATAGTGTGGGTCGCTGTACACGTGGACAGAGGAACACGCTCCTCTGCTAGGACTGAGCCCCGCCCCTGCAGGCTGGACTTACTCTTTCTTGGCTGCCTCCGCTGTCCTCTCTCCTGCCCTTCCCACTTCCCCATTTCCCTACTGGGTTTACCTTCACCCTCCTTGCTCTCAAATGCTTTTCTCAGGGTCTGCATCTGAGGGAACCCAGATCAGGACCCTGGTTTAGTCTATGGTGGGAGCAAGCTACAGAAAGAGAGAGGGGAATGGAGAGGCTGGTTACCTCACTAGGGACAGACTGGGCATTGCGGCAGACCTCTCCTGTGCCACAAGCGTCCTGGAGTTGGCCACAGTTCCATCTTCTGGCAAGGAAAGGTAATTCGAAGGGGCAGCTCCTATTGATCATAACACACACCGGGGAATATGCTAGACTCTAGACAGAGCAGCTGGATTCGGGAAGAGACTGAGAAAAGAAACAATGTGGGCTGATCTATTTGGTGGTGAGTACTTAAGGTTTCTGTCCACTCCTGACCCCTGATACCTTATGCCCAATAGCACCCCTTTGGATAATAGAAAGCAAAATATTAGAACTCATATGTTCATCTATTTTTAAATTCTTCTTGAACTTCCTATTTTCATGCATATTTGATAATGTAAACAATATATGAGTTCAGTAGTATTTGTTACAAATACATTAATATACTCATGTTAGGGGTCCATTCTCAACATGACAGGTTCACAATCCAAAACATTCACAGAATCTTGATTTAAAGAGCCTACTTCCTTTTAAAGAGAGGGAAAGAATACCAAGTAATTTTATGTTTCAATAAAGAGAAAGGATCAAGCATATTTCCAGGGATGAATTCTGGGTATTGAAAAGCCACATTAAGTAAGAGAGAAGAGAGGCCAGATTTAGCAAGTCATTAGAAAGCCATTAAAAGAAATTAAAAGTGGGTTATAATTCACTATCAAGGGAAAGAAGTTCATAAAGGCCAGTACTGGCCAGATGTATCTGTTGGGGTCTCCTGGTCAGCAGCCATAATGACAGGCTGAAACAGCTGTCATTATGTGTTGAAGTTTACAAGGTCGCTTTGAAGAGGCTACAAAGTTGAGCTCTCCATGGTTGTGATTTAATAATCAGAAGATTGGTGGGTATGAGAATTTAAATTTTGACCACTGCTTAATCTAAGCCTAGCTTGGTCCTAGAGGGCTCAAGTTAAAAACAACAAACAAACTCCTAAAATTAACCCCGAAGCTTCAGAAATCAAATCAAAAAGCTTCAGAGAGAGTCACCTAAAGGCAGTCTACCCACTCCACCTGCCTCTCCCGTAGAACAAAGCTATAAAACGCCGGGACAGGATCCATGGAGCAGCCATCTGAAGACTGTGGCAGGCAGACCCAAGATGGCTCCCAACAGTCCCTGCCTCCTGGTATTCATGCTCCAGTGTAATCCCCTCCCCTTCAGTGTAAGGCTGGACCTAGTCAGCAACGGATTTCTAATCAATAAAATACGGCAAATGTGTTGGGCTATTGCTTCTGTGACTCAGTTATAAAAAACTGTGACTTTCTGTCTTGCTAGCAGACTCTATTACCCTCACAGGTTGTGTGCTTTTGATAAAGTAAGCTGCCATGTTGGAGAGGCCTACGTGGCTGAGGACTGAAGGAAGTTTCTGACCAAAAGCCAGCAAGGAACGGAAGTCCTCGGTCCAACAGACCTCAAGGAACTGAATCCTGCGAACAAGCACTTGAGATTGGAAGTGGATCCTTCTCCAGCTAAGCCTTCCTGTGACTGTAGCCGACACGTTGACTACAATAGCTTGTGAGGACCCAGGTAAGCCATGCCTGGACTCCTAACCCACAGAAGCTGTGAGATCATAAATGTGCATTTTAAGCTTTAAGGTTTCTGGTAACTTGTACGTAGCAATGAATAAGTAACACAAGGACTCTGAAAAGTAAGTAGCAGAAGGAAGACTGAGGAAGAAGATCAGAGTTTGAAGTACCACAAGAGTGGTGGTGAGTTGGCCGTCTTCTTCCCTCCAGTTCCCCTCACCTGGATTTGAGGAGCAAAAGTTCAAATCAAAGCCACAATGAGAAAACCCAGTATGCCTATTAGGACAGTTAAAAACAATCCAGTCGTACCCAGCACTGGTTAGGATGTGGAGTGACTCAGACTGTCATGCTTTGCTGATGAGAATGCAAAATGGTACATTAACTCTGAAAAATAGTTCGGTAGTTTCTTGTAAAGTGGAACATACATTTTACCATATGACACCACAATCCTAGCCCTGGTTATTTACTCTAGAGGAAGCTTATATTCACACAAAAGCCTGTACACAAGTTTGTAGGGTCAAATATGGCAAACACCCAGATGTCCTTTGGCGAGTGAATGGATGCGCGACTGTGGGACCTCTATACAGTGGAATACTACTTAAGAAGAAAAAGGAATAAATTATTGATACCTATAACCTGGATGAATCTCAAAGGCATTATGTTGAGTAAAAGAACCCGGTTTAAAAGGTCACATACATTTCTATGACATTCTTGGGAGACAACACCACAGGGATGGAGAACCACTCAGTAGTTGTCAGGGTTTATGGGGGCGGGGGTGTGACTACGAGCAGAAAGCAAGAACAAGTTTTGGGGCAATGTTCTGTATCCTAACCTATCCACGTGTCCATATTTACTGTACACGAATTTTAAAAATAAAAAGCTTCAGAGCTGGCTCTGGTTTAGGGCCTTGGGGTCTGCAAGATATGAAAGTCCCCACGGGTTGACTTTGCCAAGGGCCTCCCCAAATCACAGCCAGAAGCAGCACCTTCTACTGCAAACTACGAGCACTAAGGAAAACACTGGCCCTTCCCTCTGACTTCACCTTTGGCTCTCTATCCATGGGCAAAACTCACAAAACAGAGATCCGAGTCAGAAAACGTACCCCAACCATTCTTTCTTCAACAAGTACTTACTAAGCGTGTTTTAGCTACAAGGCAGGGATACAACAATGAATACATTCTGATCCATCTCCCTTCCAGGTACACAGTTGAACGAGGGACTCGGGTCTGCCCACAAGTAGTTTCAAGAGAGGAGGTGCAGGTACAGAGATAGGCCCACGTACTACTGGAGTCTAAAAGGATAGTCATTCTGTAGGTTAAGTGAGGAGGCAGTTCATAGAACATGAAAGATGGGAAAGGCACTCCAGGGAGCGTGGGAGCATGTGATATTTCAGTAATGTTTCCTGAGACTGGGGGGCTGGGGGGTATATAGAGCAGAGGATGGGGGTAGGTTGGGGCAGCTGTGGTCATTCTTAGAAACCATGACTAAGAATTCAGACCCTAACTCATCAGTCAGGGCTTACAATTTCAAGTGCTCGCATGGGCTGGGGCAGGTAAGATACATGAATGAAGCAGCCTAGGCAGAAGCGACAGGACATTCTAGAGAGCTTTTATCTAAATGAGGCGGCTGCTACTTAGTGGTTGCTCTCTCTTAGGCTGCCAGACAGAAATCCTGGCGCAGGATTGCCCAGTGTAATTTTTCAAGAGAAGCTGAACATATTTTTATGTGAAATCTCCCTACTTTTAAATATCAGTATATTTCTGCAAATTTCAGATACCATCGATTATAGGTACATCATTATTTTACATACTGATAAGAAAGAAAAAAGTCACCCATCAAACCGTTAAGCTCCATCTATTTTAAGACTCATTCCAATCTCAGAGGTACTAAAAATGTGAAAAACATGGACATCTTAGAATCCATGAAACGCAGTCATTCTTTTTTTTCTCAAAACAACATAGAGGTTCCACGGAATGCATGCAGTATGAGCCTGCCAGAGGGCGAACTTGATTTTTCTTTCTTTCTTTCTTTCTTTCTTTCTTTCTTGCTTTCTTGCTTTCTTGCTTTCTTGCTTTTCTTTCTTTGTTTCTTTCTTAAGATTTATTTCTTTGACAGAGAGACACAGCGAGAGAGGGAACACAAACACGGGGAGCGGGAGAGGGAGAAACAGGCTTCCCGCTGAGTGGGGAGCCTGATGCAAAACTCGACCCACGGACCCCAAGATCATGACCTAACCCAAAGGCAGACACTCAATGACCGAGCCACCTAGGCGCCCACGAACTTGATTTCTAAGTGAAGGGAAGCCTGAGGGTGATCTGATTAGATTCAAACTTGAGGAATATCACTCTGAGGGTCCGATGATAAGGAACTGGGGGAAAGCCAGCCCTAGGAAGACCAACAAGGAAGCCCTGGCAACAATCCAGGAGATGGATTAAAGCAAGGGTTGGGGGGAGGCGGTGGGGGTGAAGAGGAGGGGCCTGATGTGAAAGCCTTTCCGGTAATAAATCCTTCAGGTCCCACACTGAGTATAGGCAGGGACGGAGGTTTCTAGTTTGAAATAATAGATGTGATGGGTTAATCACTTCAATATTTACTGGGTGTCCACCGTATGCCAGGCATGACGCTGAGCGCTGGGTGTACCGTGGTGGACAACACAGACACCATCCCTGTCCTCTTGTCATACACAGTCTGGTGGGCAATGCCATTAACCATGGTATTAGTGGGTAGAACATGAAAGGGAGGTGGAGAAAAATAACGAGTTCACATGTCCCGTCGGCAGCAGAAGCCTGAGTGTAGAGCCCAGGAAATAAATCAATCTATAGATTCTCATTAAGAGGTCACCAGGTGGGGCACCTGGGTGGCTCAGTGGGTTAGGCCTCTGCCTTCGGCTCAGGTCGTGATCTCAGGGTCCTGGGATCGAGCCCCGCATCGGGCTCTCTGATCATTGGGGAGCCTGATTCCCCCTCTCTTCTCTGCCTGCCTCTCTGCCTACTTGTGAGCTCCCTCTCTCTCCCTGTCAAATAAATAAAATCTTTAAAAAAAAAAAAAAAAAAAGAGGTCACCAGGTTATGGATAACAACTGAAGCAGTTGGAGAAGATGAAACAGCCATGGAGAGCCCGGAGAGAAAGAAGGCAAGAGGGGTGAAAACAGAAACCTGAAGAATTGAGACATTTAAAGGAAAAGAGGAGGAGGAAGGAACAAAGGAGACCAAAAAAGCAACAATCTGGAAAGGAAGAGGCCCGGGAGAAAGGGATACAGGTATTCTCATGTAATCCAATATACTTGCATCTATAATTACCGCATAGAGGTAATTTACCTTGGCAATGTACGATTCAGATTTTTCAGAGTTATGGGTGTTTTGCATGAATGCCAAATAGGCTTATCAGAACTGCTTCTTATTTAGAGAGTTGTGATATTTTTAAATATTGCCACAATCTGTTCCTTTAGCTTGTATGTGCTTGCGTTTTGCATGTATCACAGTTTGACATCTAGCATGAGTCAATGGCAGAGTAATGGTAATTTCTTACTTCTTCTTATTTTCTTTCTGCAGGAGCTATAATCTGCCATTCCAAGACAAAAATAAAATGAAAATATACATTTATGCAACTGCCTTTCATATCAAGGCACTGGGAATTGGGCAAAATTGATCTAGGCACACAGTGGAGTCCCTTTGTATGATCATCGTGAGGTCCTTGGCCTAGAGCTCTGTCCCGGTGAGCCTGTGATGTGGTAAGACCCTCTGGTCCTCTGGAATTACCCAGGAAAGTCCTTCATTTTGTAGGAGAGGACACAAGGCCCAGAGAAGATAGGTGGCCTCCCCAACATTGTGGTCTTACGATTTGGTGGCCAATACTCCTTCTACATCAGGGTGACCCAATTCTACCCTATAAAGATTGCCCAAATATAAATTATAGTAAAGTATGTAAAATACATATTAAAGAATGATAAACTCCATACACAAAACTCCATACGTAGAGTCTACCAGAGTTGGCTAAACAGAGGAAGAAGGCTAACTTTTAGTCATATGGTTCCATACCCAGATTTCATCCAACTCATCTGCTCCATTAAGCATTCTTACCCTTCTAAGTTTTATCAGTTCTGCACAGGTTCAAGGAAAATAGACTCCTAGATCTTCACTTTGTTGGTTGCTGAATCTTTCAGCCTGACCTGCAGGCTCAGGACACTATCCATTGTCACACTTATAAGTCTTACTTAAAGAGAATTCCTCAGCTTCATCTAGAATTTTCCAGAGGTAAATTCTAGAATGATTCTTTAATAGGTTGCCTTGGCAACCCCACAATGTCAGAGGCAAATATGACAGTCCTGCCAACAGGATGAACAACACAAGCTGAATGAGAGAACCACTTCCAGTGTATTGGAAAGACAGGTTCCAGGTTCTTCAAGCTTTCTTTCTGCCACCATTTGCTTCCCTGTCAACCATTTCTGCATCACACACACAGAAAACAAAGCAGAGTTGGTTTCTTGGAGGAACACTGAAACAACTAGCTAAAACAAGATCTGAGAAAGATCCATGACTTTCTGTTCAAAACCCTTGCTGCTATTGCCTGAGAGGATTAAGTGCTCATTGTGAAGCCTTTAGAAAAGTTTTCAGAGAATTTTCTTTAAGAGCACTTATTCTTGTCTTGGTTTCATTCATATACTCAGTCAACAAACATTTGTTGAGCACCCATGGTGTGCCAGGCACTATTCTAGACCCTGGAGATATACCAGAACTGACGAGGTCCCTTCCCTCATGAAGTTTATAGCCTAGTGGGGGAAGTAAACATTAATTAAATACTCATAAAGGTAAATGTGAAATTGCAAAGGAGAAGTACATGTATTATGAGAATGAGTCAGGAGGTCAAGCCAATAATTGCTTATCAAAGAAAATAAGCTTTGAACTGACATCTAAAAGACAAATACTGATTAAGTAAAGGTGTTGATGGGGGAAGGAGTCAAGCATACACTTGAGTTAAGACAAGATTTTAAGTTTACCAAAGCTGAAGTTAGTATTTTTACCAATATTGCAGAGACTATGAGATCTGTGAGTCTCGTTTATATAAAACTCTCTAAAACAGTGCTTCTCAAACTTTAATGTACTTATAAATCACCTAGGGATCTTGTTAAAACACAGATTCCTGGGCCCGGCCCCTAGAAGTTCTGGTTCAATAGGTTTGGAGTGGGGATCGTGAATTTATGTTTCTAATAAACTCCCAAGTGATAGTGAAACCTGCTTTGAGTGGCACTGCTCTATGACACAGTATGATTTTTACGTGTTTAAATCTCTCTTTGGCAACCCACTCTTCCATAACTTTTATTTTTTATTTATTTATTTTTAAAGATTTTATTTATTTGACAGAGAGAGAGAGATCACAAGTAGGCAGAGAGGCAGGCAGAGAGAGAGAGAGGGAAGCAGGCTCCCTGCCGAGCAGAGAGCCCAATGCGGGGCTCGATCCCACGACCCTGAGATCATGACCTGAGCCGAAGGCAGAGGCTTTAACCCACTGAGCCACCCAGGCACCCCTTCCATAACTTTTAAAGTCAAACTACATTCTACAATGTTCTTGGGATTTTTATGGTCAATTTGGTAAGAACAAAAAAAGCGTTGTGATGTATAAATAAAATAATGCCATAAGCTAAAGATCTCAAATATTGGGAAAGAATGAGAGAAATAAAAATTATAAACAAACTGGGGTGTTGGTAATGTTGCGAAATTTCACAGATTTACCTGAGTGAGGTGATTATTCTTACTTAGAGAAAAGTCTGATTTACAAAGCAGTTTTAAGGAAACGTCATATAAATTAACCTAATGTAACTGAGGATAAGAAACTTCTCTATGTGTAATGACTCTTTAACAGGTTCACTTTCATTTTTTAATGAAGCTCTGGATGTCATATCACATGAGATGAGAAGAACCTTTGCAGGGATGAAAGGCAGGCCACCCCAAAATGTGCCACTTTGGCACACAGATTACTTCCAGCCAGAAACAATCAAGGCCCCAAAAGACACATGAAGAAACCGCAACTTTCCCCTTAACTGCGTAAAGGAATTTAGACAGAGGACCTGCTCCAGGAAGACAGCTGTCGCCATAGCTAACTATATCATGATATGAACTAGGTATGGCAGACATGAAGGAACCTAGCAAGACTGGTTTGATCAAATTCCTTTCTATGTCCCATTATTTCTGAGTGGCCCAGCAGACATTTGTTTATCCAACATTTACTCTTTTTTCATCTTCCTGTGAATTGCTTCCCTTCCCTTTGAAGTTCCAGACTCCTACCCCCTTCTCCTTTGTACAGGATGACACATGGCCCTCATCGTGCCTATCTTTGGGATCTCATGTCTGTGTGGATTTCCTGCACGTACATAATTAAGTTTTATTTTCTCCCATTAATCTGCTTCATGTCAGTTCAATTCTTAGACCGGCAGCAAGAACTTTGAAGAGTATAAAAAGATTTTTTTCCTCCCCAACTCCGCCCTTTTAGGTCTGTTTCTTACTACCAACCATAATTACTTCTGATATGCCACGTTCCTGCTGGTGTGGCTATGTGAAAACGACACTATGAAAACAAGTTGATGAGAGACCCAAGATTTCTAAGCGTTGTTTTTCCTGAGAAGGTTGTGAAATATAGGATCTAGAACTAACTATTATCATTTTCTAAAAATCAAAAATGAAGTTTTCTGTGCACGGAAGAGTAGGAGGATTACAAAAGGGAACAGGGAGTAAGTTCTTGTTATTTCATAAAAATATCAGTGCTGCCACTTAACAGCTGTGTGTGAATTTGAGAAAATTACATTACCTCTCTGGGCCTGTTTCTTAGAAAACCAAGATATGGAAGAAGGGAAGGGAAGGGATGGGAAGGAAAAAGGAAAGTAAAAAAGAAACAGAAAAAACTGGGATAGTAATATCCACCATGCTGGGTTAAAGTAAAGAATAAATGAGTTAATATAAAACATGGCAGCCTAGTTAGTTGCCTAACCAATATCCATTCTCCCTTTCTTCCTTACAAGTAAAATCTCAATTTTGTTCTAGGCGGCTATGGGCTTAGCCAACAAAATTTGATTTGCTAGGTTCCCTTGCAGTTAGGGTGGTCATGTGACACAGTTCTGGATAATAAAATATAAGCAGAAATCTACTGGCTGAAGCTCCCAGAAAAGCTATTTTCCTGATTTAAAAAGAAAAAAAAAAAAAAAAAAGATAAGACTCAGCTGACATGAGCCCTTTCCTCTTTGCCCTTTCCCCATTCTGTGCCAGCGGGACACAAAGTCTGGAGGAGGAGCAGCCTTCTTGTGAGTATTAGGATGCCAGCCTCCTGCTGAGAATGATAATGCAGAAAGGTTGAAAGAGGAGCCTGAGATATGAGTAATAATGTGAAGTTGCTTCTCTTGTGACTTCATATCACATGGGATAAAAACCAACACCTCTGTGTTAAGTCCTTGCTATTTGGCTTACCTTATTTCCTGCAGCCAAACACATTCTCAAACCAGTATACCTATAAAGCAGTTTGAGTAGTGCCTACCTCGTCATCCGCATTCAATCAATGTTAGCTGTTGTTACTGTTACAACTTGCACAGCATTCTGTTCCCTAACCAGATGGTTAGCAAGTATTCCCCTCACTTCCTTGCAATAGTACCCCAATTTTCATTTTTTGAAATCAACTCTCTCCCTATTCTCAGCCCTGTGGTTTCCATGGGACTGACATCACCCCGACTGTAAGTACAGGCCCTGGGGGCACCTGGGGGGGCTCAGTTAAACATCTGCCTTCGGCTCAGGTCATGATCCCAGGGTCCTGGGATCGAGCCCCACATCAGGCTCCCTGTTTAGTGGGGAGTCTGCTTGTCCCTCTTCCTCTCCCTCTGCCCCTCGCCCAGCTCATGCGCACACTCCTCCCTCCCTCTTAAAAAATGAAATCTTAAAAAAAAAAAAAAAAAAAAAGTCCCTGATGGGCTTAAGCAAAATCAGCATGAGCCCACTTTCCAAACAACAGTGATTGTCAAGGGATGGGCCCGTAACTCAGGCCTCAGCCAACAAGCCCATCTCCTTTACCTGGTAAAAAGGAGTGTTCAGGTGAGCATGTAGCTAAAGACTGGCAATATAAGTGACTCTTGGGGCTCCTTCAGAGAGCGCTGGGACACAGACTCACTGTCCCACCTGAGGGGCAGTGCTTTGAGCATGGCTGTCACCATGTGGAGAACAGGTGTGAGGGGTACAACTGGGACATGGAGAGGGGTGACCAGGAGAGGGCAGGGAAATGGAGCTGGAGCCCTTCGTTGGAAATCTCTGCATGAAATTTTACCTTAGAATGTTCAAGTCATATTCATTTGATAACTTGGTTTGGATTTGGTCCTCTGTCACTTGTGATACTGTCAGATGGGGAAAAAAAAAAAAAAAAAGAAGAAGAATTCAACGTAAGGATTATAGGCTTAAAAGAATCTTTCCAAACTCTTCCCTAGTGCATCTATTTAATCAAATGTAGGGACAAGCACAATGTAGATTCATATCCAAATCCCCTTTCCAAAAGAAAGGAACAGCAATAAAATCTGCAATTTGCAATTGTGTAAATTCATTCATTTTTCTTTTCCAAAAGAAAAAACCCAGGCAATTGAAAGTATTTTGTTTTTTTGTTTGTTCATTTTTGTAAACATGTCCAGGACAACTCCTTCAAGAATAGATGTGTATTGGGGTTTTAGAATCAATGTTGGACCCAGAGGCTGACACTGGAAACCTATAACTAATACTGAAATAATATTCACAGACAGTTGTCATGGCAGCCTGCTCATTCTGCACAAAATAGAACCCACTGCATTTTAACAGGATTTATCAGAGGAAAGCTGCTAGTCTGCAGACAGCCTCTAACTGAGTTAAACAACCTGCTAATTGGTTTTATTATTGCATTAGCCCTCAGACTATACCCTAATGATATCCCCCCAATCACAAATATTTAAAATCACTAATAAAAATCCATAATACAATTTTTGTTTAAAACCTGCATCACTCTTGATATCTTCCCATCAGACTATGAGGAACAACTTAGAGGCGAGTCCCATCCTGTGCACTGTTGAATCTCCTTGTAAATCTAAAGGAGACAGTAAGTGTTGGGCCAGTCGAGGGAGTAGCCAAGTTCATTTCCATCAACAATTAGCATTGGCTAGATGCTGCCACCGGATATTTCCTTTTAAGTGGGGTTCTGTAGGAGAGGGGAGTGGCCAAATTGTTATGTGCTCAGTTACAAAGGCCCAGGGGAGTGACTTTAGAAACTAGTGGCATCTCAAGACATATAAACAAGG